CTCAAATTTTTCTGGATTCCGCATTTTTTTTAGTGATTTCTACAAATGTACAGCAGTTTTTGTTCCGACTTTTGTAATGACAGTAACGGAATTTTTGTGCTCGGGTGGGTTTTTTTTCTTCAGACAAATTTCGATACTTAGAAATCGTTCCAAATTGGTTGAAAGAAGCTGGTTTGCCACAATTGATATGTTAATAGGAACGAAATCTATCCTTTTGTACTTAATATGGCGTGTGGGAGGACGACTTTTAAAAACAATTATGTACTTTTAAATTTTTTTACTTACCTTTTTTCATGTTATTTTTTGCTCCATAGACCTTAAAAGGCACTAGGAACATTCAGGGCCTTGCCCTGATACGAGCAGTCTTGTTTTTTTTATATATTCAACCACATTGAAAATATCTAAAAAATGGCCTGGTTGCGGATTCCACGACAAGGCCATTTTGATTCTCTTGCGGAAACCGCTTGCAGATAGCAAAATGCGCAATTTGGTTCTGCAATGTGCGTTTTGTTTTTTGTTGACGGCGCCATAATTAGGTTCACATGTGAGTCAGCCAAAAATTAGGTAAGCCGTTGCTTTACAAAATAGATGTTGAATAAGGCTAAATAAACTAATATTTCAATCTTTTAATGAATAAAAAAGAAGAATAAACAGTGTGCAAAAAGAACAGAATATTCCGACTACATAAGATTGTAATGACAATTAGAGAATTATGAAAACTCGGTAGAGCGTTTTTTAAAAGTTTTGTAGCGTGTTAAAGCGGTTTAAAAAAGCTTTTTACATTAAACAAAAAAACTAAAACAAATAAGACTATAATTAGGGTTGCAAAGGCAGTTAAAAAACTATAAAATCTTTCATTTTTTATTCGAACTTTTAACGAGTCAAAATTGTTAAACAAATCGTCTTACAAGAAACTAGAAAACAAGAATAAACTTTTGTAGTGCAAGTAGCTCAGAGTGATTTGAAAACAAGAATGAGTGCAAAAATAGTAAGGAACTTATAAAAAAAATAATTCATTTTTTTTTCCATTTTTTGAAGTTAAAAAACTTTTTCCAAAGATTACCACCAATTTCTTGAGGCGCTTTTAGAAAAATTGAGGCGCTTTTAGTTGGTCGAAGAACGATGTCATAAAATAGTACCAAAAAGGGGACCCTTTGGGCGGTGAGGGTTCGAATCCCTAAGGGCAAAAGAAAGCTCACCCCTCCCCCTAAATCCGACCCTGACTCCCAGCCATATAGCCCCTTTTTTGAAAGTGGTCGAAACCAAAGATTATATTTAATTTAGTTTGCGTTTGACATTTCAATTTTTGAGTAATATTTAAAGAAAGGAATCTAGTCAGAGATCGGAAAAGTTCACTTAAAATGGAATATAGCAGGGCAGAAATAAATGACATCAAAACTTAGCCAGGGGTGTCAAATTCCTGAAAAAATTATCGAATCTTCCTCCTGAATCTGCCCTCTTCCAGATATATAAAATTAGTGCATATTTTCAAAATAAAAGGATAAATTTGGAAGTTGGATGATAAAGTTGACCGTCTAAATTGGAAATATGTGGAAAGAAACGGTTGGTTGACCTTTCATCTAATTGAATGGTCAGCTTGAATTTCAACTTCTTATTTGTCAGGAAACTTGTTCGAATGAATGTGATGGGCGATTTGTCTGAATTTTAGGAAGTTCACTTGCACAGTCTGCAAAATTAATGCCTCCTAGAGACTAAGTGAATCGGAAGCTATTTAGCCCAAATTCCACCTAATTTCCTTGAAAACTGAACCCCCGAGAAACCGATATAAAACGAATGGAAAAGTACTTAAGAGAAAGTGATTGCTAACAACGGCTTCTCATTTGTCATTGGGGAAATGATAAGCATCAAATGAGCTTTCAATTACTCCAAAAACAAATAATCGATCTGCTATTTATTTATTAGAGTTGAACGATTTAAATAATGAACTCTCAAATCCAGTAAAAGTAATTCATTGCAAAATGTAGAAGTAAGTTTTTGTAAAGAACTCAGATTGAACTTTGAAGTTACAGAAAAGTATCAGTTACTGAAAACCACTAATAAGTATTTGCTAAATCGACTTCACTTGTAAATGCTAAAAGAGTGGTTTTCAAACAAAGCGGCTTATAATGTTTCGGATAGTTGAAAGAACTCTCTGCAATCAAATAAAACAATATATGCGCATGAGGAATTTCGAGAAGTAGAGAGGGAGAAGGTACCCGGGTCGAGGTGCTCACTTTATGACCGTCTCGACCAAAAATTGGTACATTTTGACCGTTTCAGTCAAAAGTGGGTATGTTTTGACTGTGCTCGACCAAAACAAGGTGCTCGACCGTGCTCGACCCAAGTAAGATATGTTTCCTCCATATGCATAGCAAAAAATGTGATTGACCGTGCTCGACGCAAAGCATTTAATCCTACTCAAAGCGCCATTTTAGGTCTGTTAATAGCTCATGCCAAATTTGGATTTAATTAGTTGTTGGTTTTCATTTTTAAGCTACCAGATTGGCTGCTCAAAATCTAGGGGGGGGGGGGGGGAGGGGGGTTATATCCGCTTCTAAGATATATAAAATGAAATTGAAAATTCTTTAACAGAAAAAACTCAAATATAGATGTTGCTCAAATATAGGACTGATATCACGCAGTGCGTTGAATAAACTTTAAAAAGGGGAAAAGCAAATCAAACGACAGTTAAAACGCAATTGTTCATGAGCGTTTTAATTGGTCTTTGAACTGGACATATCCATGCCGATATCTTGCTTTTTCTAGTATTATCTATAACAATTTATAACTAAAATGTTCATTTTTCTTGATTCATAACGTGAGGAGGGGTTTACCCGGAAAATTTTCTAGGAGGTTGATTTGATATTAAGGAGATTGTTCAGAAAAATTCCAAAACAAAACCTTTCCCAGGGGGTTATATTGTTATTTCAATGAACGGAATTATACTATTTCTTAGAAAATCTACATACTTGAAGATGTTTCAAAATTGACAGTTTTGAATTTTTGTCATTTTAGATGGAAAAATATTTGCCTTACTGCTTAGCTTTATTGCAAACAAACTACAGTGCGTATATTTCAAAATTTAAAGTTTTTTTCTTTTTTGCTCCATCATGCTGCTTTGTCTTAAATGAATTGAAAAAACCAAAATAATTTAGTAAATTAAGTGGTCGGTCTGTCGTAGCAATTCATATAATTTCAAAAAATAAAATATTTTAAGTAAGTCATATTTTTCTATACTTCTGCAGGTCATGTCTTTTTCCAGAAATTGGAGCCAAAAAAGGAAAAACATTTTTTGGAATAAGAGACCAACATTATATTTTTTTGAAATCAGATGATAATAGCTTGAATAAACAATAAAAAGCAAATATTAGATTCCCAGATTGGTTGCTCAAAAATAAGGGGGGTATTTTTTGTTAGATCTCTTCCTAAGTTATAAAGAATGAAAATAAAAATTCTTTAACAAAAGTAGTCCAAGTTTGCTCAAATGTAGGACTGTTAGCCGGTAGTGCGTTGAGTCAACTTTACAAATGCGAAAATGCAAATGAAAGGACAGTTAAAACGCAATTGGTCTTCGTCGCTTTAATTAGTTTTAGATCTATTGGACAGATCCATGTCGATATCTTGTTTTGCTGCTATCAACGATAAAATTTTCATATAAAAACTTTATTTTCTTTCTTGATAGCGTAGGGAGGGGATATAACTGGAAAATATTTAGGGCTTTGTTTTGTTTTGTATGCCATTTGTGTACAGAAGTTTTAAGCAAACTCTTTTCTAGGGGGTTTTTCCGCTTTTTTTTATTGTTTTAAAATTTGAGATAAACAACGTTTTTTTTCAAAATCAGATGGTAATAGCTTGAATAAATATTTAAAAACGACAGTAGATTCCCTGTGGTATCATGTGATGGCATACTTATCCTTCTTTCAAGACGGCTGCCCCATTGATTGATTATTCTGAATCAAAAAAACTCAAACTTCTGTTTCTCGATAGAGGAAATTTTTTTTTGGAATGGTTTTCTAATAAATCAAAGCACTGCTTGAATGAAAGATTTTAGACATCATTTTTATTATTGTACGAGTTTCTACGAGTGCTTGAAGTTGCATTCTGAAAAACCGACACTAGTCAGTATCGAACATTTTAGGGCCTTTACCTTATGTTTGATCATGTTATGTTTTACAGTTTATTTATAGATTTTACAGTTTAAAGCAACCTCAATGTTCAGCATTCTTGTCCACAAAAATTATTACCACAAAAAAATCATCGAAATGTGTCGAGTGATATATTATGTTAAAAATTTTTCAGTCGTGATTAAGAAAAACGTTCAAAACTTTTGATTTTTGGGTTGTTTTTGAGCGAAGGATTTTAGCGAGCAGGCTTATTTTTTGCCAACCAAATCAATTGCCACAAAAAATTGCTTAATTGAAAGGAGTGATACATCATCTTGAAGCCGTTTCAGCATTGATTCGAACGCTATTGAAATCTTCGTCCCAGTGTCGTCCCAAAAAGTTGTCCCAATGTCGAGAAAAACTGGTTCATATTCGAGCGAGTAAAGTTTATAGTAAGCCATGAAATTTTTGTTTTACTTCAGTAAAAAAACCTTTTTGGAGTTTTTTTAGGGCGTCTTGGGAAGACAAAAATTTCAAGAATTCGAAAACTTCAAGAATTCGAAAAAGAATTCAAAAACTTCAAGAACTCAATTGCCAAAACTGCCTATGTTACTCTGATTGTAGAGTTTGTCATAATTTTAGGCTTTCGCCTGACCCTTTCATCTCACCACGCACAAAAAATAACGACGTTAATTTGAAAAAAAAAGAAAACGTTTTTCCAACAATATGGTAGGAACATTCTGTGCTACTTGCACATGCACAGGCGTCCTTGATTTCAATTGTTAATACGTCGAATGCTTGATTGACTTTGGTTTACATACTTTAGTTTGTTTTGTGAGCTAGTGTTAGCCACTGATTTAGCCTCTCAAAAAAGAGTCGCAAACAAAGTATGTGAATTTGTAGAAGTATATACGATATTTACAGAGATTTTTAGTCAAATTTTAAAATTCGAAATCCAGAAAAATTGCTCTCAGGAAAAAAAACCCGCTCTCATAATACCGAGAAGATTTTTTGTCACTCAATTGATTTATAATTAGTTTTGAGTGTTCTCTATGTTTGCTTTGGAAGTCGAAGTTGTGGCTTCTTCAATTCCGTTGTTAGTCGAAGTTTTCATCAGCTGATTTGCGGAGCTTTCAATCGCAGCTGAGTTCTCAGGGCAAACGTGAACCATTTTATTTTTGGGAGGTTCTGGTATGATGATCTGTGTTTGTAATTCATTGTTCAGTGCACCAGAGTTAACATGGCCTGATTCGAAAGTTCCGACGTCAATCGAATTGCTCTGCAAATTAAATGAATCATCTTCATACTCCGATATCGAAACTTCCGACAAGTCTTTTTCTGGACTTGGCAGAAAAACATTTCTTGTTGAAATTGGCGATATTTCTGAAGGAGTTGCGAAGGTCGAAGAACTCAACGCGCTATAATTGGCAACGAGTTTCTCTAGGCTTTCATTCGACATAGTGACGTCATTTTGGTCTTCGTCGGAGCAATTAGTAGCGAAGTCTTTGCCATACTTGGCGTATAGTACTCGCATGCCTGGATCTTGCAGGCTCTTCATGGCTTTGATCTGTTCCCACTGGTACAGACTCTGGAGGGCGTGTTCTCTCTCAACCCCTCTCTGCCACCCGGTGGCATTGGGTCCGAACTGGTATGTCTTCCTCTTGGGTGTGGGGTGTAGGGTGCTGTTCCAGTAGTAGTGTCTCAAAGCCCTCGTGATGCTGGAGTAGAGAATCTTCTTACTCGATGGTTGGCGACCTGATATTTAAAAAATAGTCTTTTTATAAGATTATTGCACTTCATAATTAAATGCAAGCACTTGGCTTCAAAGGACTTCGAAACAATAATATAATAATTATTCTTTTCAAAAGTGTGCGTGGGAGTTTTGCTATTGACAGGGTTTTCAAAAAACTTTAAACCATCTCAATCCTCCTCCATCTTCCCTCTTCGGAAGGCCACTGTTGAGAAACATAGAAAAATGCAGCATGCTAAAAGAAGAAAACTGAAAAAAAAAAACACATCGAGCACAAGAATCATAACATGAACAACATGCAGGACATACAAACTTACCTGTGACGATTACTTCCAGCTGTTTGAAAATAAAACTGGAATGATTGCGATAATAATTAATTAGTTTTCGCTCTAATTTTTTGACTGACTTATTGTATCGTAGCTGGTTCATATGTCTTCTAGTTTATGTATTATCTCACCACTCATTGCAATAGTTATGTAATAATTACCAAATTGTTGGCACTATCTGTGAGCTTGAGCATCTTAACAAGTCCGAAAGTAGCAATTTTAGACTCATTAGATTTTTAATCACAGTTTCTACGTGTTGAAACGAGTAGAATATTAATTTCTGACGCCTAAATTGGTTAAATTTTTTTAAGCTTCGGTCGAAAAAGCTAATATTGCCTACAATTTGACACTAGTATTGATTGAAGTGTGCTTTTTTAGTTGAGTTTAATCACCTGGAATGCTGTCCTTGTAGTCGTTATAGATGTCCAAAAGGTAGTCATCGTTGAGGAGTTTGAAGAAGCCGATGCTCCTGTTGCGCCACTGGATCACAGCCGAGTACTGGTCTGGTCGGCTCAGCAGCCACAGCAACAACTCCCACAACTTAGCACTCTTCAGATTACGCGCCGTCCCTAAGATGACAGAAACGAATACTTCCAAATAGTAGAGAAAAACTGCCTTTTTTTCCAACAAATTGACAGAGGAAGTCGCTTGGACAACAGATATGTGCGTTTCAGTATCTGTAAGAGACTGAAAAGAATTAAGAGGGGCTAGTTACAATGCAAATAGCACAGTAGCTTTCAGATGCAAATAATACAGAAGCTTTTGAACATATTTAACATTTTGAACGAGTTTGAAAAAGAAAAAACCCAAAAATAATGAAAATTGATGGGGGGGGGGGGTCGAATTCAGGAATTCCCTGTTTGGTACTATTTTAGGACATTTTTTCCAGCCTAAAATTTTGGCGCCAGTACATACTAATTTCAAAGGGGAGCGCGCGCCGAAAAAACGCAATTTTTTTAAATAAAAACCATCCAAAAAGTGCTTATAAAGTTTTTTTCAAACTCGCCTGCGGCGCAGAAAATTTGACTGAAAATTAACGGAAAAACGGAGAGCTTGGAAAAACAATTTGGTTGAATTAAAAAAAGTCGATAAAATTTGTTGAAAAACAACCCCCTCCCCCCACCCCTCCTCGAGAAAATCCTAGATCCGCCCTGGCGTCGAGAAAAATCATTTTTCTCGACAACGGTAAAGTTTTGGGCTTCAAATAAACTAGGCTTTAAACATGATAAATGACACAATTGAAATGCTCAAATGCTTCGTTAGAAGCAAACTTTTCAGGAAAAAAAATATAAAATTAATCGTCATTTTTTCACATTCTCAATTTGCCAGCAGGCCAGAAAATTATGATAAAATATGGTCTTTTTGTTCCGACTTTATATTGTTCCAGGAAAAATCTGCGCAACTATTGAACTGCAAGAAAATCCACGCATTTTTTCAAAACAAAACCTTCTTCAAAAAATATTTTTTTTATCACCAGGCTGATGATTAAAACATACAAATTTATATAAAGCTTTATCTTCTGTTCTCAGAAAACAATATACCTTAGAAGAAATTTCAGTCTTAAATTTAATTTGTCAATTTTGCATCATTTAAAGTGAAAATTTTTAGAAAGTTTGGAGTCACAATGCTCAATTACTGTTTGGCTTACCTGGTCCTTTTCTGCACTCCTTGCGAGACCTCGGCATCTTGGCAGAGTCCGCATAGCCAATCACTTCATGGTTCCTGACGTCAATTACAGGCTCCGACGAAGTCTCCCCAATAAACTCTCCCGTCCCTCCCCCATTATCATTGGACACCAGGGACGGAAACTCCATTGCGAAGCAGCTTGCCCTAGGTGACGAAAGATCAATTGCCATTGCACCTTCAGGCACTGAATTGACCCTGTGACCCGGAGACTTCAAGGTCAAATCCAAAGGCTGGTCTTCGTCTATTTTGAGTTGGTTGAGCGAAGAATTGTGACCAAAGTTTTGTGGTTCACTTTGCGATGATGGCGTCTTTGTTCCCATTGAGTCGTCCTCTTTCTTCAAACAATAGTTGCTCGCAACAATATTTGCAATATTTCCATATTCACCGGTATTTTTAAACAATTTTCGCGCTTTTTTGGGCAGTTTTTCAACTTTCTGAAGTGTCTTCCTGTTGCTTTTTTGTTTTATTTTCTCAGCTAATGCTTTCAAATGTTTCGGAGAGTTTAAATCCAGTTCGGCTTCGGTTTTTGGAGTCATGAAAGCTGCCGAGTCCTGACAGGGGGGCGGGAACTGATCGTTTTTCAAACTCTGATGTAAGCCATGAAGTATGGACGATTGGTTCGCCACGTTTTCAAGTAATATTTTCTGATATTCAGCCAAAAAGCTTTGGTGTTGCAACCAGGGATTTGACATGGCTGAAAACAATTGTTGACCGTAATTTGGTTGCGGGTAATTCACAGGAACTGATGGCTGATAAAGCTGCAATGACGGTGAAATTTGTTGTGCATGTTTCATGGCAAGTTTTTGTTGATAATTGTTTGTAGCAAGTAAGTTGGCAATGTTTATTTGTGCAATAGCGCTCGGCAAAGAAGGTTGTTGGAATATATTAGGGCCGATTTCTTCTTCCAAATGACCTTGCGGGTCAAAGGAGCTCATATCATCTTCTGCGGAGCTTGACGCGGAAAGGTCCAAGGCCATTTTCGTTTTCAAGATCGCAATCTGGGTTCTCAAAATTTTGGGTTTTTAACCAAAAATTTTGGGTTTCTAAACAAAATGAATGAAGTTAGTCTGAGTTTAAATAGAAGCGACGCTTGGTTGGTTTGTCGAGAAGGTATGATTTTAAACATGTGTTCCTTTTGACAAAGATAATGATAGCAGCTTTTAAATGTGGACTCCTTTCATGAATTCTGGAAAGTTTGCTTAGATTGATAAAAGACGGGTTAATTCGAATATGAGCTTGCTGCCGAATTTGTTGTCAGTGTTAGCTGTATTTGCGGAGAGGATTTAATTTGAGGTTTATCGGAAAAGTTGACCTTTAAGGAAGAGAACCCACGAAAAGAGAAGAGAAAGAGAGAAGAGATCTAACTGCTGAATGGTGCATGGCATAGTAGCTCATCTGAACAACTGGGTTTCAGTTTTAGGTGTGCCATTAAGATATTCTAGAACCCACCTCACCTAACCGAACCATGCCATAATTTAGTTCTTTCGCTCATAATCATACAACTGTATCATGCATTTTTGAACTCCCTAAGAATTCGAGGCTGTCAAAGCATATTTTTGAAAAATTGCAGTAAGTTTTTGTTTTTCAAAAACATCACTCTCTGAAAATTGTAGCTCTAAAATATTCTGAAAAAATCAGAATTTTTTTGTTGAATGATCAAAAAAGTTCGGTTTATTGTTCTGTCGGTTCTATGAACCGACGCTTTCAAAATTCTAATCCGAAATGAAGAAATTACCAAAAAAGGATTGACATGAAGATGAGACTGAAAAGAGAAATTTGTGATTGCCTAACTCCCACTACCCAACTAATTAACTAGTTTATAACTATGGATTACCAGATGACGGTATAAAATTATGCAGGGGCGGATTTGGAGTTTTTTCGAGGGGGGGGCAGATTTTCAAAATTTTTCCAAATTTTGGCGAATTTTTCCGAAAATCTTTCCAATAATTTTTTGTAAAATTGTGACCAAAAAATCGCGTTTTTTCGGCGCGCATCCCTTCAAATTAGTATATATTGGCTTCCAGAAAAAATTTACGTTTGGTCGGCCGAAAAGGATGTCGTAAAATAACACCAAAGAAGCGACCTTTTGGTTGGTAAAAAAAAAAGTCCGCCCCACCCCCTCCCCCCACTCTAAATCCGCCCCTGAAACTATGGTCAGTGAAAAAAAACGTAATTATATCCTAATAAGGTAAACCATCTGAGGTGCATTTTACTAACTTGCTGCGCTTAGTTGATGATTATGACTACGGTTATCTTGTTAAAAGAATTTCTGGGCAGGCAAAACTTCAAATGTGACCAAGTAGAAAATCAGAAGGCAAAGAAGATATCAAGATGATATAAATCAAGAAAGATATTGTATGGGTAAAACTATCTAAACATCTGAATTCGAGAAACTATAAGAATTTAGGGCTGTGATATTTATTAGGAAGAAAGATCGTTAGATGGTCACAACTATGTATCTTTGAGTATCTCATAATTCGGCAGTGGTATATGTCTGTTCATCATCTCGACGTCGAAACAGTTTAAACATTCGGATCTCCGCAATATTGAAAAGTGAATTATTTGCTCGGATATCAACCGTTTACCCACTGGTCGATTTGGAGTTAGGCAGTAATAATTTATTCAGATAGTTTACAGAAGATGATTATGATGATGGTCGGTCAGGTGGTAGTTATATTCTCTCTTTCTAGTTAAGGTTGGGTCGAGTAGTAAGACATGGCAAATAGTAATTATGGACATCATCCATCAGGCTACATAGTTAGATAGTTAGATAGGCTACATAGTAGATGTTACCTACTACTACTCGTACCATTTAACATCCACTAGCTAGCGTCAAGTAAAATATACTCCAAAGAAAGATCTCGGCAGCCCACTACGTTATGTTTACTTCCCGAACTCGAACCGAAACTGACTATATTTCAAGAAGAAAAGGACATTATACTTTTGAGTCCAAGCTAGTGGTATTAATTGACAAAATTTAAGTGAAGTTACACCATCAATAAAAAAACTCCCAAAACTTTTGTCTTAATCTGCAGCAGGATGCATGAGAACCCAAAAATATCATTTTTAAACGATCGCCCTTTTCACTCTTGTGGTTTTATTTTACATGATCCATTTCTGGACAACCAGCGCTAATTTTTTGACGCTAATATTTATTTCGGGAGACAAAATCTCGCGCGGAAAACTTTTTGTCAACACTTTCTAACCACTGCCAAAAAACGGCATTGTCAGCCTGATATGTGAACAAATTACAATCGGGGTGCAGAATTTTTGCGATATATTATTACTTTTTAATGCTTGAGGAGAGGAGGGCATACGTAATTGTTATTGAAGGTCGACTAAGTTTTCGAAAATTTTTATTCCTGTCCCTTTATATTACATAATGATTCAGAAGCTAACTATTGACTTCAGATGCTTTGAAAGCAAACGTGTTTTAGGTTGCTGATACGAGAGTGGGATCTTCATTAAAAATGTTAAAACCCTTACCTTTTCAAGAATTTTATTTGGTAAATATCAGACGAAAGTTTTTACAAGCCTAGGTCAGGATGTTAAATTTCTCTATTAAGTCTGGCTTTTGATGATGTCAATGTTTTGGAATTATAATTAGCTAGCCAGTTTTCAATTCAGGCACGTATTTTCTTGATACTCAACTCTTAATTGTGACGAAAGTTAGCAAGTCTGCCTACTATAATAGATTTAATAGACGAGCAGTTCGTCAGTTGATTAAATCGTGCCTTTTTCAACTCAGGTAAAAATAGCCAAAACTCAGTTTCTTTGTTCGCTCAGAACATGGTTCATTTTGTAGTCATTTAGCTTCGTTTTTCTTGCTTGTGTAATAACATCCAGCAAAAAACGTGTTCAATCTTTCTTAGTTCTATAACTTCTTTTTCTCAGTCTTAGATGGTAAGTTCCAAAACTTGGTTAATAATCGTTGGTTTAAGTGATTTATTCTCTCCAGCTCTTGAAAATAACGAATACTTTCTCTAGAATCACTACACGTGCGGAAAACCGCAGAAACTACCTGTACTAAAATCAAAAACTAATTCTGGTCGTTTGTTTTTGAATCGGACCAAGCGGCCAAGTCGTAGACAAAATGTACCAAATTAATTTTAAAATGGCCGGAGCTATAATGGAAGTTCGATACCAATGTAGCAAAAGTGCATTTTTGGTCAAATGATTACTAATAAATGGTTACATGGTCAAGTGTTGAGCTCATGCTTCTTTTATGGAAAAAATCTGAGTAAGCTACGTTTTTCATTTATCGTATTTTTGTCTAATCGGGGCTTGGTTGTCGGATTAAAATAATAAAATGTTGACCTTTTTGTCGATCTTTTTTTAAGTCAACTAAAACTAATTTTGGCCGCGCGCACCTCCTTTTCTTGCATTCCCATAACATCGAGGAAGCTCATAGTTTTTTTATTCATCTGCCAAACTAAAATTTAAAACTTTACTATTTCAAACAGGGGCGGATTTAGGGGGGGGGGGGGGGGGGGGTGGCGGACGCCCCCCTCCTCAGGGATTTGACCCCTGCCGACCCAAAGGGTCCCCCCTTTGGTACTTTTTAAGAAATCAATTTTTGGCCTAGTTTTCAAACTTCTTTTGCACGACTTTCTTCATTAAAAGCTGAAATTCTACCTAAAATAGATAGAATTTCTGAAATATCTTATAGTGTTTTCAAAAATTACAAGAACTAATCTGTTCAAAAAATGTTTCAACTGTGATGGTTCAAAAGCGAGGAAAAAATTTATTAATAAGCCAGCCTTTATCATTGGCTATTGTTGTTCAAAGAAAGCAATTAAAATTCAAGTAATTTTAATTCTCACAAAATAAAATTCACTATCTCCTACGTATCCTGAAAGTTAAACATCCAACTAAAAACAAGTATTTTTTTAAGAAGAGTTCCGCTTTGCATCTGCGAGAAAAATACAGCACAGATGCCATAAACGGTTTTACAGAATATTTGAAAAAGTATTGCTAAAAATTGATTAATTTAATGAAACACACTACTAGATTTGGAACCCAATTTCATTTGGACGGCATAAGAGACAGTGATTTCAGAAAACGAAAACCCAAAACAAATAATCAAAATTCACTACACATCAATAGGGTTTTTCAATAAAAAAATTTCGCTATGTATTAATTTATTATCATTTTCCATCACAACGCTATACCTAAAGAAAGCTTACAAATCACATAATTGACTGACTGCTCTGTGGAGGTTATAGTTTTTTAGTTTTTGTTGGTTAGATGGCAAACTTTTGAAATCTATTGACCAGTTTTATGACCTTTTGAACGAGTTCATATGACAAAAATAAAAACAAAATTTGTGAAAACTGATTCACAAAAAAAAAGAATTTGTTTCGCAAAACAAACCAAAGTAAGCGGAAAAAGTAACAGTTCGAAATTTTTTAGCAAGTCCAAAAGTCCAGCACGGACACGCGAAAAGTTTTCAAGAAATGCACAAGTAGCGGAACTGTAAGACACATTTGTCAAGAAATTGAGCCTACTCCAGCAGAAAAAAAAACAAGTTCTGAAATTTACGACTTATTTGATCGAGTTGGACTTCAAAACACAGCGAAGATGTCAGAAACGATATGAGACGGTTTTTTAGAATATTTGAAAAAGTATTGCCAAAAATTGAGTAATTTAATGAAGCAAATCACTAGATTCGGAACCCAATTTTATTTGGATGATATAAGAGACAATAATTTCAGAAAGCGAAAACCTAAAACAAATAATCACATTTCGCTACCTACATATCAATAGGGTTTTTCATAAAACAATTTGAAAGGTAATTATTCATTATCATTTTCCATCACAACGCTATACCAAAAGAAAGCTTACAAATCACAAAAAACTGACTGCTCGGAGGAATTTATAGTTTTTGTGAGTTAGATGGCAGTTTATTGGAGGCAGAGATTTTTGAAATAAAAAATAATTTTTTGGATCACTTTAAAGAATGATTTTATCTGGAAAAAAAGTCAATGAAATCAATAAAATAACATTATTTTGGCATACAAAAATGAACTTGACTTGAAACGAAATAAACGCAATTTACCCAAAGAAAGTTTGAAACTGAGCAAAACTTATAATTTTCTAGAAAAAAAATTAGTTAATGGTATCCAAAAAAATTGCTTCGACATAACAAATCAAAAATAGGTTTAAATCAATCAAGGAAAAAAAACGCAAAAAGACAAAAAAAATCCAAGAAAAGAATGGCTGCTAAAATAGTGCACAGTTTCTAAAACTTAAAACCAAAAAGAAAATTTTTCAGTGGAGAAGGATTTGAATTTTCGAGAATTCCAGAAAAAAATAACTACAGCTTAAAATTGAATTTTGAGCACAAGTTTTCGAAAAAAAATCCTACTTTATTATCAAAGATCGTAATTTGTTTTTCGTTTGACAAATTGTGTTGATAAATTGAAAAACAAAGGTATTAATTAAAACAAAAAACTGAACAGAGACAAATTTAATGACCTTCTGAAATTTAAGGACCTTTTGAAAAAATAAAGACAAAAAAAATTGTGAAAAATTACTAAAGTGTGGCTATCTCTTATAGGGTTAAAACAAAGCAGCGCAACGCCATGGTTGCGCAGTGACACTTAAAGAGTATTATTTATTTGATAACGCCTGGTCTGATGATAACGCCTGGTCTGATGATAACGCCTGGTCTGATGATAACGCCTGGTTTTCTAAAATATAGCCAACAGAGAGTTGAAAAAAAGTAAATTAGAGCAAGGAAACTGAAAAAAAAACCTAATTGTTTTTGAATTAACTCCAAATTTCGGGTTTCAAAGAAAAAATTATATGCTTTTAAAGCTCTGAGCTTCGCCGAGAAATCTGAAAAACATACAACTAAAATCCAGTATTGAAACTAGAAGTCGATCACGTTTTTTGTGACTTCTACATTTTTGCTCTAAATATTTTGTATAGCGCAGTTTGCTTTCTTTAGAACGGAGAAAATGAGTTCAAACTAAAAAAAATTAAACAGCCAAAAAACAAATTTCAGCATGAACAATCTCAACTTATATATAAATCAAAAATCAAACCCCAAAAAATTGATTTTAAACTCATAAACTTTGAGTTTTTTTCCCTTGAAAAAACAAAAAAATCACCAGACCTCTAAACTACGTTCATTGACATTAAAAAAAATTATTCGTGCTACTCAATCCATCATCAATATTTACCTGGATTCAAACTGAACTAAAATCGTGTTTTTCCAAAATAAATCTGTGTTCTCCATTTAAAAGAGTCTCAATCTATGAGCCAAAGCATTTTTTTATATATAATGAAAAAATACACAAGCCAAAATGCATCTCGCAATTTAAAACAAAATAAACCGAAACTTCAACCATCTCAGAAAAGAACATATTTTGGAACCAAATCGCTTAACCCGATCAACATGGAATGATTTCCGAACTAAATAATTCGCTCCTCGCAAATTATCATTTTGGTCAAATGGCCAACTTAAACATCAATTTGGCAAAAATATTCATTAACAAAAAACTTTTGAACTTTCGAGTTCAAGACATCAAATTGATTCAGATGTTACAAAAAAGCGGTAGTTGATATCAAGATTCGAAGCATCGATTGTACTTCAGCGCTTCTTCAAAAAGCCAACATTATAGGATTGTAGGTTTTAATTCAAACCATTTTTTTAAAATTTTTTATATCACTTCACTTCTGTTTCTCTCCTTACAGAATGATACTTTTCAAATGCGGAAAAATTTGCCTCGCTTAATTCCCAAAGGTACACTTATGCTCGGCCTGCGCATAAACCTAAAAGCAAAAACGACGTTTTACCAGACTCAAATCTCAAATTTCACCACAACTTCAACCACATAACAGCTAAGATACACTATAACATTGCGTTAAAAGATAAAGCTTAAAGAAAAGACTGAAATTATGTTTTTTGAAACATTAGGTTGAAAAAAAAACAGAACTTAAAAAAATATATTCATGCAAACAATTGATTACTGTATTGGATGATGTTCATAAACAGCCTTGCACAATATTAATAATCAGTTAACGAGCTGCAATGCAAGTATGAGAACAAAGTTTGGGTCCTGCTGAGCTGAAAACAAAACTATTGTCATGAAAAAACTTTGAGCCATTTCTACGGCCCAACCGTACTAAAATACATAAAAGCATTTCAATATAACTTACTCTAAGAAGCGCAACTTAACCTAATCAAGTCGACATAACATAAGCTGAAACCGTTCAACCAAAAAACTTAAATTATTCGAAATCAGACTTGGTAAATTTACAAATTGTAGAATTTACAAGTATAGTAAAAACTCTTTAAATCAAAATGAAACCCATCCTTTTGAAAAAAGCCATTAAAAAACCGAAGCAGGTAATAAAAATAGCTTTCAACACAGAAGCGTAGCTTCGCTTCGCAAACACTAGCGAGAGCACGAAAAAAAGCAGCTTTATAAAGAGTGCAATAAGAAAAAGTACAAATCAGTCTCGAATTAGAAAAAAATGGCTACGTCTAAGATTCGAACCAACGACCTTGAGATTAGAAGTCACACACAGTAACCACGGAACCTTAATAGTAGATAACAGACTAAACACTATCCAAAAATAAAGCAGAGAACAGATGCTATGCAATTTCCAAATAAGTGAATATATTTAATGAACACTTATATTTGCGAGCTAGATGAGGTAAGTGTATTATCACGAATCTTTTTTCTAATATGAAAAACGCACTGTGGACCGACTGAGACTGAGATGAAAAGCACTATTTCAAATTAAAATTAACTGAAAAAATAAATATTGCCTGAAACGAACTCTACCTAATTACTACCGAACCTAAAAGATGGAGGAGTTATAAGGTTTCAAAAAATTGAGCATGTTGACTATTGCTATTACATTGACCACTCTGGGAACAAAGTTATTAGCGTTGAAAAGTCTAGTATCCATTTGCAACACCCTTGCTGATCGCAAAGGTAGACACATCGGTCGCTAAATTGTTAGCTAAAAACATAAATTTCCTAAATTTTTGTGCTATTTCAAGTGCTGTTTTTCTTGAGCAATGTGAATGAAAAATATCACGTATATTTAATATATCAAAACAACTCAATCTAATTTTACCTACCTATCGCAAATAGTAATTAAGAAACAACAACAGCAGAAAAATCCAATTACCAAAATATTTCTTCGAAATAGAAATTCTTGATGTACAGTTAAATTCAGTATAAAACAATTGAAATTTACAGATTCAAAAATGCTTCTTTCCTTGTATAGTACTCTGTCAGTTTATCTCTACTATACTGTACATAGTCGAAGTCTATTTTTGAGATTGTGCTCTGCAAGAGGGACCACACTCCCCAGTAGAAATGAGACAACAGACACATTTTGCCAACATTCCTGTAGAACTCCTCCACCTCATCCGCAGTGGGGGGAGGGAGTGACTTGAGGGCGTTAAATGAGTCTAGGTAAAAGGTGATGAACTGCTTCTGCTCTTCGGGGGAGGGGAAGATGGAGAAGTCGATGACGTCACCGATCCCACACATCTCGTCAAAGTGGTTCCCTATTATGCAAAACTCGAATGCACTTAAACGAATCATTCTTGTTGTCACCTGTTAAAATCGATTAGATGACAAAATTGCCCAGATTTAAGGAAAAAACCAGTCGGTTTTTGAAAAACTTTTCACAATCGCCGCTTATTTATATCTCTCATATCTGTCTTGGGCTAGATTCCATTAAACAAGGCTAACTCACCAACATCAAATGCCCTGTAGCTAGGGCCTCCATACTCATAATCAATCAACTTCACTGAATTCTCCTTCTCATTATAGACTAAATTGGCCAGAAGAGTGTCATTGTGTGAGAACACAAGTGGTTCGTCTATTCTACTCCACACTTCAATCTCAGCCAGCTCCTTCTTCAGGGAGTCAATTGTGAACCTTTTGTCCGAAATGGAAGCTAGCAGAATGCCCTCATGATCCGACAGTTGTTCAAGCCACTGTCTCGTTTTCAAAATGGGCATCGGAATGGAGAAGTCAAAATCGGATTCACTCGGCTGAATTACAGAATACAATTTGGCGATAGAATTAAATAGAATTAAAATTTGGCGATAGAATTAAAATCACCACCCCGATTATGACTAAAATTCTGTAACTTTGATATCACTTTAATTAGACTCAAGTGAAAAATAATTTTAGAAGGAATAGCTTAGCGATATTCACATACTATTTTTCTCATGAAGATATTGTTGACAATCTATCCTTGATGTTTTTCATTCAAACTACAGCACATTTATCCTAATTGTTTGTTTTCGAGGGATAAACATTGCAAAGAGACGTACGTGTACTCTACAGTGCCATTGTGCGAATGTGTCTGCTGTGAGTCTCATGATGTTGGGATCCCTGCAACTCTTGGCATCCAGAGGAACTCCCTTGAGGTACTCATATGCCAGTCCATTCTTGAACACACTGTATAACTCAGGGCCCAGTCCAACTGCGAGGAAAGCAAAGGTATATTTTTACGCAACATTAAAGGTCCCTAGATGAAAAAAGGTGGAAAAATTCAAATAATGAGAATTTGACATCGGCCATTTGTTTGAAACATGTCAACAAAGCTTTACCAAATCAAAAATAAAAGAAGACACTAGCTATGTTATAGTTTGGTTTCCAAATTGTGTACTTTTTTTGTCCATGACATGATGAAAGGATCTGCACGAAAGGCCAGAACTTAAGTATGTTTGATAGTTATAGTTGATAAGGCATAATCGACAACAATTTTATTCGAATAAGAAAACAAAAAAATTTAAGAAAATTTTATAAAAGAAAAAGGCGGATGACAAGCCCTGAATAAAAAAACAAAAGAAAAATTGAAAAAAAAATTTTAAAAAAGGCAGATGACGAGCCCTTGATAAAAATAAAAGGGCTTATAAGCCCGTGAAAAAGTTTAGCCAACAGAAATTTGGAAATGAGTCAATGAACGCAAGTAAACAGAAAAAAAACTGACTTGTTTTTGGAAAAAGTCTTACCTTCGAACTTCAAAAAAATAGATGCCCGAAAGCTCTTTGAATTTCTAGAACAACGTATGACTGGCACATTTTTGATATAATTCTATAATTCAACCAATTTGAGAAAACTGAATCAATAAGTAAAGTTCTTATTTCGCTGGGAAATCTGAAATTTAAACGAGAACTTTTGAAACGAGAAGTCATTCACGTTTATTGTGCCCTGTTTCACTTTTTCCAATCAACCAGTGAGTTTGCCTTCATTCAACGAAGGAAATGAAGTGAAATAAAAAACCATAACTCAAACCGTACGAAATCAAAAACCAACAAAAAATCATCAAAACCTAAGTAAGTGAAAATCACTTCGTTCCCTTACACTTTAAGAAATTAAAACACACTTGAAGACAAAGTTCCTCCCTATTTCCAATATTTAAAACGAACAGAAAAAAAATTGAGTCTCTTAGCAGATGAATGCACTACTGACGCCTAATTGATTGATAGGCAAAAAGCGACGCTGAACTAAAAAAAAATACATTGAGTGATATAAGCGAAGTAGTACATTTATCTCACGGCGTGTCAACAAAACTACCAAAGTTTTGCTCCAAGGTGGTTCATGTGAAACAAAATAGAAAACCGCTCGACTTAATACCGAAAATATTTCAGTCAATTTTGACTATTCATTTTTTGAGCCAAAACATGTTAATTAAATTGTCTATTTTTCAATCAGTAGTAGCGCCAAGATGTTCTCAAGGAGCTACCAAAGGTACTAAAGCGATGAGATTAACTGTCCCCCTACAAATAAATCGATTAAGGGAAGCAAAATTGAAACTTTTAGAGATAAACTTGAGGGCAAAATAAACTGATTTTAACGATAAAAGGTTATCAAAACTTAATTATGATTAACAATTTGGGCAATCAACAGATAAACGAACTGTTCTATATCGTTAAATTTATCAAGCAAAAAATTCTGCGCGCTTGCATGAAACGAATATTTTATACGGAAGCATTTTTCAAAGTTAATATGTGGTAGAGGGAGAGTTCTACGGTAGGTCATTTAAGGAGTGGATTATACGGCGACTGATCCAAGCTACCATTTCTTAAGTAAAACGGGAATAATTTTTCTTTTGGTATTTATGAAGACCAATCGAAAGCGCAGCGAAGCAAGCCGTAGCTACTTGCGAATACCGCGTTTGAAATTAGCGTTCTGACTTGCGACTTGTTTGGAGTCTGCTAAAAGATGCCTTTGCTTGCTTCAAACAAAATCGATTTGCTAAAAAGGCCAAATACTATAATGAATTCAATTAGCTAATAACTACGCGTTGATTGTGTGATAAATTTAAATTATACAAATGATTGGCAGGTATCTGATGATCCTTGTCACCGGATGGAAAGCATTTGAAACAGTTCTCAATATCATCGATATTATCATTTAGCTCGTTGCAGAGTCCGTGGATACGAAATGTTTTTTGATTTTTGAATCAGCTGTCTGTTCATAAGAAATCAAGTTCTTTTGACTCCAAGAGGATGTGATTCGGTTTTTTGGATCTACTTAACAATCTACCCCCCCCCCCCCCTTTCTTGAATGGGGTGGAGATTGTTAAGTAGATCCGGTTTTTTTATTGTTCTCAGAAGCCAATGTTCTTTTTTTACAAGTGTATGTTTTTTAACGATTTTCAACACTTGCGTCTTCTCTTGGCAACTGTGAGGCTGTATACGATGAAGTATTGATAAACCCTTTTTCTAAGCATCAGTATTAATCATATAATAATTAAACTAGCGTGAGTGATTGAAGTAAGTAGATAGGCTGTCTTCCAGTTTTGTTTCAGGGCAAATTGAAATATTTTCTTGCACTTTCAAACTTTTCTATTTTTTAATTTTTTATCGCTGGTATAGTCTTTATTTGTACCTAGAATTCGTTAATTTTGATGCACATTATTCCGTTGAATTGGGCTTGCTTTTTTTGAAAACCCATCACTTGAAAAATATAATCACAGGTTACACCAATTTTGACTTCAGGCGACCAAGATTCTTCAAGGCATTTCGGGCAAACAAGTATTTCTCAACAGATTGTCTGCTCTTGCATCTGGTGCTAGGTAAATAAAACGACTAGAGTTTAAAACGACATGACATTTGGACGAAGAATGAGAGTTAAGAGTTGAATTGTAAATTGAACTGCTCGAATTTAAGCGAATTCTATTTCTCAGAAATACAATTGGAAAATTTGTGTGTAGCTTGTAGCTTCGTTTTTAAGTACCAAAAGCGTTTGTGGTCTTAACGACTGTCGTCTGGTTTTCCGTACGCCCTTGGAGCTATCTGCTACTTTACGTCTCATCTTTCTTTTGAATTGGCGATATGAAATGACGAAAATTATTTCTTGTTCTTTTTCTGAGGAATTTTTCTTTACTCTTATCAAAGTATGTACTTACTGTATCGGTCTTTATTTTTCATTAACTTATTAAAAACAGGTCCTGTAAAATAATCGGTCGGTGTCCGGCTAAGAAGACGAGAGCGACAGCTATTAAGACGACAACCGCTTTTGTTCTGACTTTACACACAAAAAAAAGACGCTTACACACAAAAAAAAGACGCTACACACAAATACTCCAATTGTATTTCCAAGAAATACAACTCACTTCAATTAGAAACGTTCATATAATTGTTTTTACTCTCATTTGTCGTCTTAATTACCTAGCACTGGATCAGTTCTACAATTCGCAAACAAATTTAAGACCTACTGTTTCAATCCTTTAGGTAAACGGTGGTAGGTAAATGAGACTTTTACGAAGAGGTGAACTTATTTTTCGAATTAGGCTGTTGGAAAAACATTGGAGAATTTTGAGTAGCGTCGACTTAAAACCCCACCACAAATGGTTGTCGTCTTAAAGGATGTCGTCTGATTTTCAGGACACCTGGTCTTTTATTTTCCATAATTTATTAAATAAATCCTCGCCAGGTAAAAATATCGGTAGTTTAAGTCGAAAAAAACCGGTTTCCAATCAACCGGTGAATTAGCCCTCATCAAACGAAGAAAAAAAAGTAAAATAGAAAACCATAACTCAAACCGTACAAAATCAAAAACCAACAAAAATTATGAAGACCTATGTAAGTGAAAATCTCTTACACTTTAAGAAATTAAAACACATTTGAAGAAAAAGTTCCTCCCTCTTTCCAATGGTCAAAACGAACAGAAAAAAATTGAGTCTCTTAGCAGATGAATGCACTACTTACGCCTAATTGATTGATAGGCAAAAAGCGACAGCCGAAACATGTTAAACAAATTGCTATTTATCAATCAGTAGTAGCGCCAAGATGTTCTCAAGGAGCTACGCAGGGTACTAAAGCGATGAGATTAACTGTCCCCCTACAAAAAAAATCGATTAATGGAAACAAAAATTGAAACTTTTAGAGATAAACTTGAGGGCAAAATAAACTGATTTTAACGATAAAATGTTATCGAAACCTAATTATGATTAACAACTTGGGTAATCAAGAGATAAACGAACTGTTCTATATCGTTAATTTTATCAAGCAAAATATTCTGCGCGCTTGCTTGAAACACATATTTCATACAGAATCAATTTTCAAAGTTAATATGTGGTAGAGGGAAAGTTCTACGGTAGGTCATTTACGGGGTGGATTGTACGGCGACTGATCCAAGCGACCATTTACCATTTCTTGAGTAAAAACGGGAATAATTTTTCTTTTGGTATTTATGAAGACCAATCGAAAGCGCAGCGAAGCAAGCCGTAGCTACTTGCAAATACCGCGTTTGAAATTAGCGTTCTGACTTGCGACTTGTTTGGAGTCTGCTAAAAGATGCCTTTGCTTGCTTCAAACAAAATCGATTTGCTAAAAAGGCCAAATATTATTATGAATTCAATTAGCCAATAACTACGCGTTGATTGTGTGATAAATTTAAATCATCCAAATGATTGGCAGGTATCTGCTGATCCTTGTCACCGGATGGAAAGCATTTGAAACAGTTCTCAATATCATCGATATTATCATTTAGCTCGTTGCAGAGTCCGTGGATACGAAATGTTTTTTGATTTTTGAATCAGCTGTCTGTTCATAAGAAATCAAGTTCTTTTGACTCCAAGAGGATGTGATTCGGTTTTTTGGATCTACTTAACAATCTCCCCCCCCCCCCTTCTTGAAAGGGGTGGAGATTGTTAAGTGGATCCGGTTTTTTATTGTTCTCAGAAGCCAATGTTCTTTTTTTTACAAGTATATGTTTTTTAACGATTTTCAACACTTGCGTCTTCTCTTGGCAACTGTAAGGCTGTATACGATGAAGTATTGATAAACCCTTTTTCTAAGCATCAGTATTAATCATATAATAATTAAACTTGCGTGAGTGATTGAATTAAGTAGATAGGCTGTCTTCCAGTTTCGTTTCAGGGCAAACTGAAATATTTTCTTGCAATTTCAAACTTTTCTATTTTTAATTTTTTATCGCGTGTATAGTCTTCATTTGTACCTAGAATTCGTT